ACGAATTATTACAGAGAACAAATTATTATTCTTTTCCGCCTAGATATCACAATGTCGTATTTCTAGCAGGTAGTGACAAGGAGAACGATTCTGCAGCAAACTCCCGCGGTAACTCCCCGAAAAAGCCGCTGACAAACCTCAACGGTCTGACGCAGAAGCTGAACGGGCTCGAGTCCAACACACAGCAGTACCGCGAATTGCTTGTCTGCACGGGAGATATCTCTACTTGCTTTGTACACGGAAAGGTATGAAATAAAATAAAAAATAAATTATATTGCCTCAGTGGCCGAACGGTTACCATGCTGGACTGCAGAGATCCCGCGTATTCCTGGGGCGGGAGAAATATTTGTATGGCCTCCATTTATTTCACTCGTGAGTTTAGGTGTAATTTGTGGTTGTGTAATATGTGTGTGCCCATGGCACTCGCGACGTAGGGTTTCCCTAGTGCGGGGTTTTAATGCCAAACAATGTGTATAAATATTATACAATTGACCAAGCCTGACTTTAACTTGACCAGTTTTATTGCATACACATACGTATACAATACTTTTGCTTGAAATGCTTCAATCGATTTAAGATTAGGGATGTATATTACGGTTCATATGAAGATTGAGTATACAGAGTATACGAGCTAGCAATTTTTGTATCTATTCATTTCAATGTGATTTTTAATTAAATCGATTCAATATTATGGCGAATCGAATCATCTAGATCGTATTCGTAATTTAAACAGTACAGTCTCTTTCTGAACCCCTATTTTATATTGGCCTGCAATAAATGCAGTTTGGCAATATCTGAGTACAACAAGTCTACAATATTTTGCGATTGTTGCTACTTCTCTTTCTCTTCTTTTCTCTTTCTCGCTAGTTAGTATTACTCTAAATCAGGGTTTCTTAACCTTGTGGTTTATGAAACCCTAAGGAGTCCGTGTATTGAACGCCGGGGGTCCAAGACGAGCCTGCATTAATCTACAATACATTAGGTACTGTGCGCGTGATATTTTCAAATTTTCACGCCTGAAGCCAAAAAAAGGCTGTCAAAACTATTTTTTTTTAATCGAAATTAATTTTGGAACGATTTTTATGAGATCGATTCAAGAGCATACGATCCGATCTCTGTGGATCGATACGATCTAATACGATCCAAAAAATCGATTCAAAGCAAAAAATCGTGCATCCCATTTATAACTCTAGCCAAATTCTATGTAGAATAAATGTCAACAAACAAAAACATATGATTTTTAGGGTTTTCATCTCAGACTCTTTCGCAATTACCACAATTTCAATATTTTCCCCCGAAATTCAACTAGATTATGTATAATACTACATCTTGAAGTTTTGTTTATAATGAATTTTGTTCAACAGAAGTTTCAAATCACCTGAAAATGACATAAAAATGACCAGTAATTAATTATTTGTAAAACTGTGTCATCCCTAGTGACTTTTTGATTTGAATGGAGAGATTGCAAACATTCGAGTTCTGGTGGTAATTTTAGTTCAGAATCGGAAATAGATGCTGGACAACAAAATATGAAATAAAATCTTAAAATTTTGTTTCTTTTCGTCTACCATTGCCTACCATCTAGCAGTAAATATTGATAGGATGCAAAAATTTATTTTTATTCCTAAATCATAAGTATCAATGGTATTTTGTAAACTTTGTAATAATGGGCTAGGTAAGTATTACTTCCACATAACCCAATTGCCTACTTACCCATTTAAATTCCAATTAAGGGAGCAGGCCGTGGGCAGAGCAAGCCTTAATAATGAGCATTGAAAGAAATGTTGTTTTCCTATGCCATCATTGGTTGCCTAGCAACGTTTTGTTATTAAACATTCTACATCGAATTTGGTAGAGTATAGGATTACAATGTAAGGTAACGATGCACAAGTCTAGCACTGTTACTACTTCAAATACTTAGGTGAATATTCAGTAAACTTTTAAATTCTTCACGATCTCTGTGGTCCAACGATTTGAGATGTGACCGCTGGATGAGAAGGTCCCGGGTTTGATTCCCGCTATTTGGTAAATGAATTATTCTAAATCGATTCCAGTTTGGGTGATCTGATTAGTGCTTCTGAGTGAATTCCGTTGCTTATAGTACGGGGAATTAGTTTGAGACCAGGCAATTGGTGTGATTGTTTGGCACATTATTATGATTACAGGGTGACTTCCGCCCCCACTGGAGGGTGTACCACACCGAGGAGCAGATCGAAGCTCTCATCCAATCCCTGAACAAGCGAGGCGTCCGCGAGAGCGAACTGAGGCAGGCGTTGGAACTTGATAAGGCCAACATCGTGGAGTACGTCAAGAAATGCCCGTTGCATCATCTTAATCCGGACATTGCTCCGGTGAGTGTCGCCTTTACCTGATAACGATATTCACAGGTATAAAGTGCAGTATTTGAATTTCTGTGTTGACCAACGTTTAAGACAAGAACCAACCAGGCAATCTGCGAATGATCTCTAAAAATAAACAAAATAAAATCGGCTGTATTAGACATGCAAAATACATAAATAGCAATCAATTATTTAACTGGCCCTGTGTCCGAACAGCTACCATGCTGCATGGACTATCGCGCAGAGGTTCCGGGCTCGATTCGCAGTACAGAAAAAAAAGGAAATATCGTCTTGTATACCAGTTTCAAAATGGATAATAGTTATCGATCAGTCAAACATTGTTTAAGCTCAGGGCAAATTATGCGTCTGGGAGTATATATTGATTATTTTATCTATATCTTTATACAGTTTGATCGTTTAGACTATTTTGATACTGACTGTACTTTGTCAGGTAGATGAGCAAGAGAAGTTACTAAAAATATTTTAATCTGGCAGCCTCCACCTGTACATCACATGACTCGCAACAAGAAGTTCACTCTCTCCCTCGTGGTACCTGACGACAGCACTTTATCGGAGGCTCTGGAACTTTCGCTCAGAGATCACATACTTGAGCTGGAGGAGAAGATCTTCCACGGATGTCTGGGAGCACTTAAAGTCAAGGTTAGAGAAAGTACACAACGCGTTGTGTTTTGTCATTAGAGACATTTACTATATGACGTACACACGACAACACGTCATGGCATGAAGATTAAGTCTGAAGTGCGTATCGGTTGAGATGTCACCTAGATTCGCACAAAGTGTTTTGCTTCCACATTTATATGGCTATGGAGTGGAATCCTTTGCCCTCAGACTTGTTCCTTGAACACTAAAACTTAATCCGTTTCAAGGCGAGAGTGAATAGGCATTGTTTAGGTGTATACTCTCCATTTTCGACCTCATCATCACTTTCCATGGGGTGAGAGGTCAAATATGTGCTTATTTTGTAAAAAAAAGTACACAAAATGCACGTAAAGCTCAAACAAGCAATCCTATATTATATAGTCTGTATTTTTTGAAGACAGAGTAAAATGCCATTTCGACTGTGAACTGGCAACCGGTAGATAGTACCGGTAATCGAGGTAGTCAATTTTGACAACTTCACATTGACTTTACAGGTGAAGCTTCTGGTTTATTAAACAAAAATACGTAGCGTATGCGTAATAAAACTATTTGAAAACGTTTAAAGTTGTCAAAATTGAGATAGTAAGTACCGGTTGCCAGTTCACACTCGATTTGTAGGGATGCCGGTTTTGCCGTGGAGTTTGATGATGTTTCAAATGAACCAATTTCAGCTATTGTTGTATAAGCGTAATCAATAGTCAGTCGATAGTCGATAGAATATTTATCGACTGCACTCACTAGCTGCTTGCAACCGAGCTACACTTTTTCACAATGAACTGGCATTTTACTCCATCTTAAAAAAAAGACAGACTATGTAAGTAAAGTGATTTAGTATTAAACGCAAGTGATTGATTGTCAGGACCGTGAGGCTTGGCGTGGTACGCTGATGCTGCGCGGCTACGACAAGCAGGCCGATTATCTTTCGTGGGGACCCAACAAGCAGTACCGGGACGACTACCACCTGCCCAATGGCGTATTGAAAGTGCCTAACGGTGAGTTTTATTGTTTATAACTGTAATAATTCATAAGTAAAGTAGCTCTGGTCACTGACTCTTACGCTACACGTTTGAAAATAAACAGGGCGCTGTTTCTGTTTAAATGTAGAGCTAAGCTGGCTCTAGGATTTTCCATGACATTGTGAGTAATTCAGCAGTAGAGTTCCTTGTGAAATACTGCCACTTTATTTCTATCGCCAAGCAGTAATATGAGCATTATTCCGTTCCGGTTTGGGGGGGTAAGGGTGAAACTACAGGCATATGAAACTTGTCAACTTATGTTAAGGGGTGACGGGAACAGAGGCAGTGCCCCTAAGGTCTTTGCGATTTAAAGCTCTGAGTGGCACTGCAACTGTTATGGATAGGCGTGTAGCTTACCACCTGGCGTACAACTTGTTCGTCATGTTAATTACTTGGCATTACAAAATTTATATTGAATTGGTATTAAATTATTTTTTGTGAAATTACTCCACTAGTTTGTCGTAATTGTTAAAGTGTCTGTCCGATGTCTTGCCAATTAAGCCACGGAAAGAACCAGCGGAGCTCACGAATTTTTCTATGTGCTTATTCGTCGGATCTTTGTATTTGGTTTTCAACGGCTTTTTAGCCGCCTGACACGGTTTGCTAGAAGATGTCGGTTCGAATCCGGCTGGATCGAAGGAATTTTTTCTATAATGTCTTCGTATTAATAATTACGAGTAATAAATATATATACTGTTTAAAGCTCTTGTGTCTTGACCAATCGTGAATATCATAATTTTTTTACTGACATGACATTCATCAATTTTTTGTGAAAATGCTCTATTAGTTTGTTATTATTAAGGATACGAAGAAGAAACAAACACAAAGAAATATTCCTTGGATCCGAGTGGACTAATCTGCGAGCTACGGATCGTGCCAGCACATCTTACGAATTCCTCTTTGTGCTTGTTGCGCATTGGGTTTAAAAGGGATTTTTTTGCCTTCTATGAGAACTTATGAAAGTTTTTCTTCACTCAACTCACCAACATAAATATCTATTGCAGACATCGACAAATCGGAGATTCCAGCCATTCCAGAAAACAAGTACCGCGACCCCGGTCAATATCTGGAAGCGCCTAAGGTGAACGGCGTGAAGACAGAGCCCGAAGACACGGGGGCGAAGCCCGACGTTATCAGGAGTCTCGCCTCCGCGCTGCTTCAGGTCTCCCAGTCTATACACCACAAGTACATTAAGAGGCCGTTAGGTAAGTACTACACGCCAAGACTGGTGAATTTATTTGAATCTAGAAATCAGCTACTTGAAGACTTTATTCTTTATTCTTATTTATTTGCGTTCCATAATATACATTACAAACGTTTTTATATTAATATTGAAATCAAATTATGGACCCTAAATAGGGCACTGCACATAGTAGAAGAGAGGATTAGTCTGTTAATTGTTACACTTACTTAATATACAATTTAAAATATATATTATATCTTTATTCTCAATTAGTTAAAAAACTCAGGTACCATGAATTTATTTTCTAAAAACTCTTACATTATATACTCCGCCCAACCATTGATTTAAGTTTTGATATAGGCATGCCTCCGAAGTTCCGTAATTATTGACATACATTATTGACAAAAAAATGCGATACTTCCTGGACTCTTTTATTTTTTTAATTTTAGTGAAGCGACGTGCTCTTTAGTTCAGATATTTGTCGAGCCAACAGAATTATGTAATGAAGATTATTCAAGTTGATAAATTTTGGTACCTGTGTAATAAATTACAATGCAATGAAATAAATTATAAATGATTGTAATAAATTCACAGTTTACACCCATTAAAGCTTTAACTGACAGCATGGGGTCAGTTTACTTTGGTTGTTTACCCTTCAGTATGGCCCTGTAGACCAATTCCTCAATACCACAACATTATATTGATCTGTTATTGAATTGCCTCTGTGGCCGGTTACCATGCTGGACTGCCACGCAGAGGTCCCGGGTTCGATTCCCGGGCCGGGAGAAATATTTATTTATTTATCTTGTGAGTTCGGGTGTAATTTGCGGTTGTCTATGTGTGTGTTCATGGCACCCGCGATACAGGGTTTCCCTAGTGGGGGGTTATGAGTATGTGCGCGTTATTATTATTATTATATTAGTAGTAGTTGAGATCCGTGTGAAAGAGTTCGTCCAGAGACGTACTGCCACCTTCTTCTCTTTCGATCTTTGCGATTTAGTGGCTCTTAGTGGCACTGCAACTTTTATGGGCAGACGTGTAGCTTACCATGAGGCGCACGACTTGTTCGTCACTTGATGTTATAAAAATAAACTATTCGCATTTTCTGGGGTCTACCACGATTTATGTTAAATCTGTTCTTCTGGCCAGGTCTTGACGATAAGGAACGCAAAGATCGCGAAGCAAGGAACAAACCACTCGACCTGGAAGCCTTGGAACGCTGGGAGGTATCCCTAATGGAGTGCAAATCTTTCGCCGCCGTGGTACTCCATCTCTTCACTCTTGACTCCAGCATTACATGGTCAGCGAGTATCCTGAATGCTAGCTGCAGACTGTGTAGAAGGAAGACGGACCCTGACAATATGCTGCTTTGCGATGGCTGTAACAAGGGACACCATTTGTATTGTTTGAAGCCCAAACTTACGGTAAGTGCCTGGAGAATAATAAAAATTCCCTACACGGATAAAAAAATACTATATATAAATACTATATAATACAGGACTTGGGGTATCTTACGAATGCATGTCTGATCATCATCGTCGTCACCATTGCCATCATATGGTCCACTGAGGCAAGTGTCTCCAGAGGGTTTAGGTCATAGTCCGCTGTGCTAGCTCAAGGTTGGGGACTTCACTTTTGACGACCTCGGTGGCTGGTGCTGGATGAAAGGTCCCGGGTTCGATTCCCAGTAGGACCAATTTAAAAATGAACTTTTGTAAATTGGTCTTTGTCTGGGTGTTTTGGTAGTGCTCTGGAGAGAATTTTATAGTTTGAGGTCTGCCCCCGTAGTACGCTGGCGCGATATAGCTATTCCATCGAAAGCTGTCAAATTCTACTGATAAAGGCATTTTAAAAATTTTATCACAATCTTTAACATGGCGAGCACCGTGACGTCACATTTTTGTATTATCGCGAGCGCCGCGACCAATGGCTGCAAAAGAATATCGCAGTGCCAAACATGGCCGCAAGGTCACAGCTGATTTTAAAACATTTTTATAGTTCTGCACAGTAATTTTATCACCGTAAAAATTGAACGCGACAAACGGGTTTGGCAAGAAATAATAAAAACAAACAAATTGATACATATAAATTATTGGAAAGGTGAGGAGAACATTTTTGATACAGTTCAGTTCATGAGAGTAATTAGAAATACGTAAATAATAACTAATAATATAATGTAAAATATGTAAAACTGAAACTACACAAACCCGACATTTTTTGTTTCATCGTTTTCATGGCGATGAATAAGCTACGTACACAATTTCATATCCCTTGTTCTCCAAAATGTATAAAAATAATTTATTACCAAATAAACAAAAGAACGAATGACCCTAGTGCGATATCTTACCGATTTAGTATTCGCAATAAAAATAAAATATTTTTTAATAATGGCAACATAGCCTTATCAACTAAAATAAATATGTCACGGGGAGGTTTATCACACACATATACTGCCATGCTACGTCCACAGGTAATTTAGTTTGATTGTACTTTTCCAAAAGGTTCTGAATTTTTTTTTTGACGTGCAAGTCTCATCAGGTTTGCGAGAGGTATTATTTATAAACATTCCCAAATGCACATAAATTAGAATTTATAGTCATAAGTGTATATCACCATAGCGATTCGGACCGCCGCGCCGTCAACTCAATTGACAAACAACCTTTCCCCACTAGGCACTGCTTGTGTAATAATATGCTTTATTTGTGCTTTGTGAATAATAAACATGTTATCTGTACATATCAGTGGCAAAAGATGTATTTATAGTGATTGCCATCGGCTTACGAAACTTATTCGTAAAATTTTCAGTAAGTATTAAATAAAAAATAAATTGCAGCATCTGCTGTACACTTCGAGATTAGCTTTACATTCTTCAAATATCTACCCTTTTGCCACTCTAGTCTGTCTTTTTTGAAGACGGAGCAAAATGACATTTGTGGTGTTGCCAGTTTTCATGAAATTTTAAATAGTTATGTAGTTGTTGTCGATAGTTTCATGGATGGTAACCTATCACAAACTAGAATTTCTTTTTTCCGAAATAACGTTAGTTCGAATTGTCATTACACCGAAAACCGGATTATAACGAAACCGTTGTTCTTTCACGCCTTCTTTATTCTTATTTTGACACTTGGTCTACTTGTTTCGAGAAAAAATTTTATTCATATACATTTTAACAAGAATAGCCGGATTTGACTATGATAATAATAAGAATAACGCACACACTCAACATAGCCCCGCACTAGGGAAAACCCTGCGTCGCGGGTGCCATGGACACACACATAGACAACCACAAATTACACCCAAATTACGAGAGACATAAATGCCTACATTTATTTCTCTCGTGAGTTTGGGTTCCATACAATTATTTCTCCCGGCCCGAGAATCGAACCTGGGATCTCTGCGTGGCAGTAAGGTATGGTAACCGTTTTGCCACGTAGGCAGTTAAATACTACCACTATCTATGTTGAATTAAAATTAAACACTGTAAAATATGTCTCCTCTTTGTGTTTTTCATAAACATAGTTCTAAATACGTTGTATGTATGAATGAACTTACAAAAATTGACAATTTAAATGAATCTGTACTCAATAATTGGATGAATAATGGGTCGGGGATGATTCAAACGAGACAAGTTCGCCAATTTATTCCATAAGCATGACCAATATTCAGTCGATAGCCGATAGAATATTTATCGACTGAAATCACTAGCTGTTTGCAAGGGGGCTACACTTTTGCGCAAAGAACTGGCATTTTACTCCGTCTTCAAAAAAGCAGACTATACATACACCTAGCGCGCCGCGACTCTTGTCATTGACAAAAGTACAGGTGAATAAGCAATATAATTTTTAATTTTTTTAAATTTATTTTTTTAAATTAGAACGAGAGATATTAATATGTGCAAAACAAACAGTCATTGACAAACGTCATTAAAAGGCGCTTGACCTAACTGTAGGCTATCACGCATTTTTAATTGTTTCCATTTTTTCACGCTCACAGAAGGAGTTAACTAGAATGGTAACACTCATCTACATATTTTACATACTTTAAGCTTGGCAAATGGCTGCGAGGGGGACGTTCGACCAATCATAAACCGTTTGCATCCCACGCCCCGTAAACCACAGGAACGTGATTGGTCGGAATGGTTCGTCCTCACGTACGGACTTTTGCGGCCAAACTGTTATAATCCGAGATAATTATCGAGAATTTATGTGAACAACATATATACACATTGACGTGTGTGCAAATATCTCTACAGTAAACGTGTGTCCAAAGGAAAATGTTTGTGCTTGTACAGACACACATACACGTAGCGCTGTAGTGTGACTGACAAATGACGCTTTAGTCGGATTATGGGAAAAGCAAATAAGCTAGACTTTTTGTTCATGTTGCATTATATTCATGGTGTCGGTGTTGTTTATTGTTATTCATGCTTCAAGTGAAACTGACAAATTTCGTTAAAAAACTCGTGGAATATTTGGAACGCCATCTATGGGCAAAGTGTGAAACTGCGTCGTTGAAATCTATCGATAGGTATTAGGACTACTATTGGTTGATTTTGTGAAAAATTTTAAATAGTGAAAATTTTTCCGGAAAAATTCCCGAAAAATTGGAAAATTATAACTTGGAAGACTCATATTATGTTTTACGTTTAGAAATCTCATTTCAAGTTATATTTTGCGTGAACTATAATATAAACTTGTATAGCTAAAAGTTACATAAAGAAAAACGTGATTTAAAATCATTACATAACAGCGAAAAAAAACCCCAACAACTACACCACCACCGCTTGTTGTTGGCTCCATCGTTTTCATTCAGTAACTTCAACTTTTGACAGAGGACAATGTCAATAGTGGGAAATTAAAGGAAAAATATTTTTCTAAATAATATGATTTTTTCAAAAATGGAAATTCTTCCATAGACCAACACTGCCGGTATTTTTATTGACAACTGGTTTTTTCAATCGTGTTTTTTTGGGTTCACAGAAAGTACCCCATGGGGACTGGTTCTGCGACCAGTGCAAGCCCAAGGAGCGCACTCCCAGAAAAAGAAGAAAACTCTTCTCCGATGAATATATCGAGGAAGCTCTTAACAGGTACGTTTGTGTTGACTGCTGGGCGCAAGTCTCCTTCAAGAAGATACTACACTTACGTTGGCCTATTTCGGCTTAAGAATTTCTTTCTTTTCTATATTCCTACATCAATAAAGCGACCGATAAATTGATAACTACTGAATAATCTGCGTTGGTTACGATGGTTATTATATGTAAAGATGATTATTGGTAGCGTGGCCATACGTCCCGCTTTTAAGCTTCGTGTCCCGCTGTCCCCAAAATACTTTAAAATGTCTCGTTCTAACAAAGCAGGACTTAGTGAGAACAAATTTAAAAAAAAAACGCGCGAAAGCGAAATCTATGTAAAAAAACCAGCTTACCAGACTAAACGAGATTAGTTCTTTTTTTTTTAAATTTTTTATCATTAACATTTTGAATACTTTTTAATTTTTTTTTAATCATTTAACATTTCATAACTATCATGAACATGTGTTTTACTTTTAAAACAATGATAAATTTATGGGTGTCCCGCTAACAGGGAAAAAAATTATGGTCACGTTAACTATTGGTAAAGATGATTTTTTTTGCACCACTGATAGATTTTATTTCATTACATCTTGTCTAGTTTAGGAGCTGGAGTCTTTAAATTTGTTATGCCTTTCTTTGATCGTCAGTTTTATTTTGTACATACACTTATGAATAACATCCTCAGTCAATTGTTATATATTGGAATCTAAATCGCGTATGTTTGTTTTTTCAAACAAAACAACGTTCTGGACTCTTTACAGGTCCCCATATCTTTCTACATTAGTTTTGGTTATAGTGACCTTCCCTAAATACCCCTAGGGTATACGAGAAGGGCACTAATCGTCTAAGTTTAGGTTAAGACCACAGATCAGCCAGTGTACAGGATTGTTACTGATTGTTTTCACTTAACTTCATCGGGTTTTCAAGAGGCCGGTGTCTACGTGGTACAGGAGCCGTAGGCACGCTCACTTCCCGTCGCGCACTGCACAAATACCGGTTGCCATCATTACTTCTTTACAGGGACCATGGTCATGGTTTTTTTCTTTTGTTAGAAATTGAAATGAAAACGTACTTCTCATTGCAATAACAAGTCTATGCCATTTGGCTGCTGCCAAATAGGACAGTATTATTTTCGATATTCATTATTTTTGTCAGTTCCCAAAAAGTTACTTTTGGAAAAGCGTTTCTTTATTATTGAGTGTGCGATTGGACCCCGCTCGTTATTTTCAGCGACGACGAGTCGTTCGGCGTGGACGCGGGCGTGTGCGGGTCGTGCGGCAGCGGCGGGCGCCTGGCGGCCGAATGTATATCCTGTCGCAACAAGTACCACACCGAATGCGCCGCGCCCAAGCCAGGCCGAACCGCCCGGCGTTGGACCTGTGCCAGCTGCCTGGCGCCCACCAGAGGTGAGCTCTCGTCTCGTGAAATCGTTTAAGTCACTTTACCCAATTCAAAACGTAGCAAGTATTTAACATTTTCTAAGTTTTAAAGTTGTTAAAGTGCGTTACTTGTTATTTGAATTGGCAATTAGTGGGTAGTGGAACTTTACTGATTTCTCTTTAATCTTAGTCGTTTTCTTAATTTAATTACTGAAACAATTTATCAAATACCTAGGAAATGCTTATATTGTGTTTTGATTCTGGCTGCTACGGTAACTTTGTACATAAATGTTTAAAGTTAGTAAGGGTATAAAAATGTTGTGACCATTTTTGTTACTAGTATATTAGTTGATTGGTACTTTACCTAATACTGTTACTTTTTTTACATTAAAGTTCAAGGGCGACCTTGGTTTGTATTTTAGGGCTCTCCTGTAAAATTCTGTCTAAAGCAATTCCTGGGCTTTGTTATGGCGCAGCCGTCTGTTTCGATAATAATACAAAGACATGGGTAGAAAATTTGTAGGAAGTCTAGTAAAATGAATTCGGAAGAAAGCGTATAACTAAGAAGGTTGATAGTGTCATAGGGAGGTTGGTGGGTTTGTTCCGATAATAATGTCATAACTTTCTACTTTGACGGTTACCCACTACTTAGTCGCAATTTACATGACTGCGGACGTGTGCAACGCGACATAACTGTGACGTAAACAGTCACCCCTCCCGCACCTCGCAGCTATCTCAGAATTTGTTTCTTTTTTTATCAAAAAGTTAAGTGGTACATATTTATGTAAGAGCGTACTCGCCAAAAAATTACCTATTTGTGCCGCCAAGCAGTAATGTGAACATTATTGCGTTTCCGGTTTCAAAGGGTGAAATGTGCCTGTACCACATGAGACATGTCAACTTATGTCAGGGTGTCGGACGCAGTGGCAGTGCCCCTCAGATTTTTGTGATCTAAAACTGAGTGGCACTGCAACTGTCACGCACAGGCGTGTCGCTTACCACCAGGCGCACGACTTGTTCGTCCCGTCACTTAGTATTATAAACTATCTCAAGCAGCTGATAGTTGAAAAGTCAATTGTTTTTTTTAAAAAAATATAGTTACTCGCAAGCGAGTTCTAAAAGACATTGTTTTGTATCCAAAGAACACACAATAAGGCGCTGTGCTGCGACCGCCATCTCCAACATTCACCAGTACACGCGCGCGCTCGACAGCAGGCGGAATAGCTCCGGTTTGTTTGTCCTTATACACATCTGCCAACTAACCACGCACTTCGCATTCGCATTTTCACTGTAACCTAACGTTGTTTTTGTTTTTGCGTTTATTTCCTTATAACATTTGCGTTACTTGACGTATGGAAACCATTTTGTTTTATTCTTCCTCAGTGTTACGTCATGTTGTGTAACAGCCTTCATTTCACTAATACGTTTGCTTTCTATTCGTTCATTTCGGATGTACACATTTGGTTTTGTTTATTTGGTTCTAGTCTTTTTAATTTGTCGTTTTAGAAACTTGCACACTTGTTAACGCAGAATTGGCTTGAGCCGGTCAGAAAGATCTTTTTGTCTATCTATGCCATAAGAGCAATAACGAATAAAGCTGTATTTACACATCAGCCAAAATTCAATGGCAATAAAAATTTATAATAAATTAAACGGTCAATTAAAAAATGAACAATGTGACAAAAAATAATAGAGTTCTAAAGCAATTTCTGCAAAATAAATCTTCTCCGCTTTTTTTGAAAATGGAGTAAAATGACATCAGCAGGGTTGCCAGTTTTCGTAAAATTTTAAATAGACGTGTAGTTATTGTCGACAGTTTTATCGATAGATTGTGAAAGAAGGTAAAATTTTGACAAAAATTAATGAATAATAATTGTGAATGTTACGACGTTCTAATGATTACTAATATGGTATTATTGTCTTCTTTATTCTTATTTTGACTGTTGATTTACTTTTATCGAATTCTATTTTTATTCATTTACATTTTAATAAGAACTTGCGGATTTTGATTATCTGTATTGAATTAAAATGAAAAACTTTAAAATATTTCTCCTTTTTGTATTTTTAATAGACATAGTTCTAAATGCTGTGAACGTGTGTATAGACTTACAAAAATATATAAATATTCCATCGATAGAATATTCATTGACTGCAATTACTAGCTGAATGCAAGCGAGCTACACTTTTGCCCAATGGACTGTCATTTCACTCCATCTTCAAAAGAGACAGACTATAGAAGAATAGTTTAATGGTTAATTACTGTTTATTATATTAGACTAAAATTGATCTGTTTCTGTTAACAGACACTGGTACGCCCCTTCAGGGTTTCAGGTGTTTGATTTTCATCAATTATTAAGGATACATGTGAATTGCAATAAAAAAATAAATATATGACGCGTATCGCCTCTCACGAAGTCCTCGCTTTTATTACAATGATATATCGACTGTGAACTGGCAACCGGTACTATCTCAATTTTGACAACTGTACAGGATGAAGAATAAATCATTTGTATAGCATCTAGTTTACTAAATAAAAATGCGTAGTGTACATACATACATGTGTAATAAAAATATTTAAAAACTACGTATTTTTATTTAATAAATCAGATGCTATATAAATGACGCGAACAATTTTTTTCTTCATCCTGCAAAGTTGCCAAAATTGAAATAACACCGATTGCCAGTTCACAGTCGATATAGCCTTTTCTGATTGGTTTAATATGATTTCGTTCGACAAGTGCGGTGACGACTTTATCATTTATAGTCATGTGATCTTGCTGTGTGGTGTTGTGTTTCAAAACGAAAGCTCATTTTATTTAAATTTCCTATTCACGCTTCCTACTAATATATTCTTCTAGTTTTTAATACAAGTTTAATTCTGCGCTTACCTCATGGTTGCGCTGTGGTTCTTTATGAACCAAAGCGTTTACAATCTAGTGTATTTTTTATTTAACTTTTGCAATGCTTTTTATTGTATCCTTTTAATCGTGCGTTTTATCTTTGCATAGATGTTATTTTAGAAAAGGGAAGTTTTAGATTTATGCGTTTGTTTCTTTCTTTCGAGCGATGGAGTTGCGTAGCTTTGGCGACACTAGAAAAAATGCAACTCGACAATTTTTTTTAAATTATGTTATGTGTTATGTAATGTTCAAGTGAACTAAATAGCTATTGATTAACAATCGACAGATTCCGATGACAGCGAGTACAACACAGTGTTGGTGAAATTGAAGACACAAAAGCGCGATAGCAAAGAAGCGTCGCCCGTTGCCAACGGTCTGCCCAAAAAGAGGGGACGCAAGTCAGTACCATCCGTTTTATAAATACAAATTCATTAAGCTACATATTGATGGATCTTGTTCCGTAGCACTAGAAGCGATATTAGAACAAAAGTGTATAGCTTTGTTCTTAAACAGTAGATAGTGCTTAGAGATCTCGCGCAAGTAGAGCCCTGTCGTGTTAGTCCTACTGTTGACTGTATATGGCAATTTTTTTCCGTAGCCAAAATATAACTTATATGTATGAGTGGCGCTGCTGGAAAGCCAATTCAACAAATACCAGTATACAATTTACAACGTCTTCGATTAAACTACAGTAGCGCGATTCACATAAGTTCAAGCGATCCAAATATCGTTGAAGTTACGTAGTCGTTCGATCGAAGTCTCTTATCAACGCCGCCCTCTTTTGCTCGTATCGTATAAAATCAGGCTATCTTTGAATTTCTATTCAACATCAACAAGTAAAATAAAGGACTTAACTATCTTTTTGTAATATTTTTCTGCTATATTAATATTACGACAACTTGTAATCAACAAATAGTAATTACATTTCAAAAAATTTCTAATTTATATTCTTTTCTTTATTGGACATTAAAAATTACAATACCTACAGAATACAGAACAGTAATAGAAGGCACAAAGCACAAACGGCACAAGTTAACAGCGGATCCCGCACTAAGCTCAAGGCTTGTATCGCGGAACCCAAAATAGTAGATAACTTATTTTCAAACATTATTAAATTATTTGAAAATTATTAAATTATAGAAATATTAATAAATTATTTAGTTATTAAAAAATACTATTGAATTATTAAAAACCTAACTTTCTGGTCTTGAATGTATTATAGAGATGTGAAAACATTATAAGAAATATTATTATTATTCTTATTAAACACGTTTTTCTTTACAGATCAAAGGAAGAAACGATAACAAATAGTAGAAAGTCCAGAACTTCACTTGCTAATGGTGTACACGGTACGTATTTGTATGAAACTAAATTGAATGCTGTATAAAACCCCGACTTTATGCAGTATGTTCGGAGTCACTCTTGAAGATAGAATGCACAGTGAAGAGAGCTTTGTGGTGTAAAAGATGATTTATTAACCAGGACGCTTCGGTGGTCTGATCATGTGTAATGAGTGGGTATAAACAGATTAACGACACGGATTTAATGTGGATGGAAATATGGGAGAGGTAGATTAGAACATCGACGCACATATCTCGATTAGATTGGGTATACTTTATATTGGATACATTTTATCAGTTGGCTTTACTGGTTAATTGGACATGAGTACAGTGTACAAATTATTGCATGTGTCTACATAAAAATAATGATAACTTTGTATGTTCCAAGGCGGACCACAGAGATTCAAACTTCATTCTTGTCACGCTTTTAGAACCTGTGCCTTTTTTGAACACGGACTAAAATTTGCAGGGTTGCCAGTTGTCATAAAATTTTAAATAGTCATGTAGTTGCTGTCGACTGTTTTATCGATATTAATTTTTATTTCAAGAAGAACAGGCGGATTTCATTATATTTACTGAATTAAAATGAAAAAACTTTAATATATGTCTCCTATTTGTTTTTAAATGTGACAAGTCAAATGAACCTGTACCCTGCAGTTGGGTCGATGATGATTCAACAAAATGAAACAATTTCGGCTATTTATTCCATAAGCGTGACCAATATTCAATCGATAGTCGATAGAATATTTGTCGACTGCAATCACTAGCTGTGTGCAAGGGGGCACTGTCATTTTACTCCATCTATAAAACTTACAGAAGAACACAATACGAGTAAGAAGCGAAGCAGTCGACTCGAAGCACAAACGCCATTACACGTAGAAGCATTGCAAATATTACTACGGGACGTGATGAAGCACAAGGACTGTTGGCCCTTCTACGAACCCGTTTCTATAGAGGACGTGAGTATATACTTGTTTTAATATTTAATTAACTTAATTACGTAGGGCAATATCCAATTACACTTATTAAACAAAGTCAATAACTACACTTCGGATATTGACTTACAATTATATGGACGTCGGGTCCGCGCTAAAAAGTGTCCGAACTTATAGGGCGTTAAAATCGTATACAGAGCGTCATTCACGCTTTAGTCTTCGTTTGTTCGACTGACAGCGAAGCAAGCAAAATTAGACAGTACTGCGATGACATTACAATTGAAATCTAACGTTTTAGCTTTTTCATATTCCTTTACATGTCACGTTTAAATAGGTTGACTTGGAACATTTTTTTCGTGGTTTTTGTATTAGACCCGTCGTCCATTTATTTGTGAGTCAATGACTCCGGACATATAATTTGAACCACGGAAGAAAAATACAATGGAAGCGCCTTAAGCCTTGATTACTCTCAGAACCGTACATTCGTAATTTGAAACTATGAAATCTTGATAAAATCATTATATAATGTTACCAATGATGCTTTAGGTGCCAGACTACTTGGACGTGATTGAGAAGCCGATGGATTTTTCGACTATACGTGAGAAGCTCGAGTTGGGTGACTATAACACCGACCAGGAGCTCATTGGCGACGCGGCGTTAGTGCTTGTTAATTGCTTTACTTACAACAAGGACACGCACCCTGTCGCTAAGTGAGTATATCACAGAACAAGAACTTGTAATATCTTTGTATATATAAGGGATATATTTCCATAATTTCTTCCATCCACTCTTTAAAATGACTTGCCGCTTTGGAGTTGGTGGCCTGACATGTCAACACGGATTTGGTAGCTTGACTTGTCAACATGAGTTGGTCGCTTGACTTGTCAACATGAGTTGGTGGCTTGACTTGTCAACATGGATTGGGTACTTGAATTGGCAATATGGAATGAGTGGCTTGACTTGTCATTGTGGAGTGGGTGGTTTGAATGGGTGGCTTGACTTGTCAACATGGAGCATGGAGTTCTGAAAACTTACGTTCAAGTTAGGTCGATGCTAACAGGTTGATAGGGCTTATTTGGAATGTCGTTTCAACACAATATGTTCTTTTGCACAATAACTCTAGTCACACTGCATAATACGGTACTTACACAGAAATTGTTATTTTTATTGTTAAATACACAGTACAGTGACACACTAAAGTATAACTTTTTCCATTTCCAGAGCGGGAGTTCGTCTAGAGAGATACATAAACAAACGCTGCGCAGAGCTAGAATTGCCACCGCTCCCAGAAATCAACCTTGACCAAGACAATTCCGATTCCGACTCGGCCCAGAAACGGCGCGTCTCAGAACACCAGGATGCGCCGAAAGCGAAAAAAGCGAAATTCAAATGATATGTGGACGTACCCTCGAGGTATAGGGACTACGTGTTTTTCTGAGGCTAGTGATATACAGTGATATAAGTGATAATGGTAAATTGAGACTTGTGCTGGTGTGCGTTAAAATAATCCCAAATATGCCCGGATGCGTTTGGACTTTAGTGTAGACAATATTACCGGTATTCTCTTAGAGAAAACTAGTGGCCGTTAATGCCTATAACGCATATAACGTATCGTCGCTTTACCGACTAAGTGTGTGTCTTGAGCAGTAGCTTGTCTCAAACTAGTTCTATTAATTCATATATAAAAATAGTACTGTAGGCGCGCGAGTTGAATACAGAGCTAAGCGCGTTTATGGCGACGCAGACGCGCTGTAGTGAATCAATTAAAACGCGTAAACGTCGCGTTGCAAGCAAGAAGCTTATATGTATACTCCACTGGAGTTTACACCTAGAATTTCATGTAGTTGCTTAATTTCAAAAACTAACTGAAATTAACAAACTAAAATTAGAACTGTCTCTTATCTAAATGCGCGATACATACGCGCGACTACAGCGTGTCTACGGCGCCTATACGCGCGTTGTCGGCGCGTATAAAATACGCTGTGTGCATAGGCTCTAGGAATACGCTAGTGCTGTGACCTAATCAGTAATTAATGACAGTCATATCAATAAATTACACAAAATCAATACGTGTAATAAAACGAAATAATATTTGTCATACATTTAACTCATTCACATGAAGAAAGAAAAAACGTTTATCCGTTAATAATTTACGGCACAGTACATGTCAAGAATATGTCAAGATATAATGTCAAGATCTTCCATTCTTTTCCTATACTTCATTTTTAAAGCATTCTATTTACAAATCTAATCACTCAGCCAGTGATTCTACTCATAGAGTACAAGCCTAGTCTACAGTACACACACATTATATGATTGAACACCTAATATAGTTATACAAGACTTGTTAATAAATAATTCGACTAATTAATAGAGTGAGCGCAGTGCTATTACCGACTCCGTCGTCAGGTTATTGTCGTTTAACGGATTTTTTCCATTATTATTTCTATTAAATATATAATATTGTTTGCTAATGTTCTTTTCGACAGTCCGGTAAGGCCGCTAACAGATGACTGCATGGTTGCTTAATGCGTGAAATCCTTATCAACTTTGTTCAGTCGAGGTCTCGGCTGCGAACATGTAGTCAAGTCAACGAAAAGACAAGGTCAAAAAATTGTTCTGCCGTTTTTGTATAACTTTTTTCGCCGCGTCCCGTGCTTGACGATGCACAAAAACACGTTTTTTTATAACTGAACTTGAAGCACGCGGTCCAATAATTTTTAAAAACAAAAATTGCGTAAGCCTACGACAGACATTAAGTACAGCACTACACTGCGGGCGTGACAGGCGAAGGGTGCGGACGGTGGGGGAGGTGGTTTCGCCCTTCACCTTAGGCCCCGACCGCGTCCAACTCGCGCGCCTTTCAAATTTGAAAACCTCGTACTCCAAACAGGCAATTAAAGCATAAAATAATAATTTCTAGACTTTTTTAGTTATAACTAAAAATGTCTAATGTTATAACATTACGTATAATCATAGATTGTCATAATTATTTTTAGTAATTTTGTTTTTTTTTGTCTCTACTTAATAGTTCACATTGAAGTATGAGGTTTACGAATTTACCCGGCGACATAAAACATTCCGTGCTAAACTTTCACCTTTGCAAGCTAAGTAATATCATTACGACTTAGCAGTTACGACAATAATCTCAGCTATGGCAGTTAGTGGGAAAAGCGACGGTACGTAAAGTTATATAGTTGCAAGATTAAAATGTTGTCTTGTGAACTGGTATACAGATAGTTCCAGACTGAAGCTTTGGATGTACTACATAGTTTTAACGCCTGTTTCGCTGTGCGTTTTGTGCACGTGTCGGGTAAACCATCCCCTTTGTCACAAGTAATAGTTATTTACATAGTTCCATTTAAATAACAGCTGCATTCCTTCAAAATTGTAATGAAAATAAGAAAAGCGTATTCTAACAGCGAAAACTTTTCTTAGATTCTTAAATTGCCTCCATAGATACATCTTGTGAGTCAAATTTAATGTTTATAGTGTTGTCCTTTTTCTTCTGTATATGTTCAAATGGGCCTACAATAGTTTAGTCTCAATAAAATAACTAACGTTTTATTGTACAAACTAATTAATATCAATAGCAAATATTGGCTTTTAAATAAAATAAAATTTACCGCTGCCCGTTACAGAAATAAGTTCTCAAATTTAAGTGATTATGATTTAAAATTGAGTATTAAATTGCATAAGATCATGTTAAATATGATTTAGAGCATTCTGCCTTTACGTTTAAGTTATTATATGAACGAATTAATAGCTGTTGATCAGCACTTTATAAATTATAATAAATCATTCAGCATAAAGGTTGAACTACATTGATCGACTCAGCACGCATTAGCACTTCAACGAAAGATCAGTGAAATTTAATACCAGACATTTAAACCATTGGTATTACCGTCCCATTGTCATCTGTTAATTCTTTGTACAGAGCCATTAACATATATATAAGTATAGAAGTAGTTTCGCTAGTGAACATGCGATATTGCATTTAGCCATACTATCACTTGATATTTTTCAAAATAATGAAGTAAGATCCTGTTTTTTCCCATTTCGCAGATGTATGCACGCTCAGGTAGCTCCTTAGTGCTACAAATATATAATTGCAAAAATTACTTGTAACACAATGCCGATGACTCCTGTGAAGTGTGATTGAACCCTAATTAGTTTTTGTGAATATTTATAAATAAACCTAGAATAAAATGTGCATAATATATTTAGCTGTCGATTGTAAAAAGAAATTGGTACAGGTTTTATAAAGTAAAAGTTCCATAGTACACTATGTATCTCTGAGATGACATATTAATGGGGACTTATCATAATTATTGATGACCGTAGTGAAGACGCTTCCCGTCTTCACGAATCATGCCCCAAGGTCGGACCTCACTTATCTGTGATTAATGCTGAAGCGTGCTGTCGAGATCCCATATGAAAAAAGTGCACAGTGCTGTTGTATTTTGACAAGTGTGGTCCAACCTTTAGTCGGTCATTCTCAGACCAGTGTTCTACTTAATTTCGGTGGCAATTTTTATCATTTAAATATTTAAGCATATTGTCATATATTAAATAATATTGCACGATAAAAAAGCCAATACTTGAATGATAAAAATTGCCACGGAAATTAGACAGTGAACATTAGTCAGAGAATGGTCGAGATGATACTTATGTAGTCCTCATTCCCTTGCGGCTAGTTCGCACTTGTACGGTTTCTTCGTCAGTTTTCTTATTCGGTTTACCGTATAAGTTACAAAACGTACATGCGTTCACATTTATACGTTTCGTGAGTCAGTTTCCCGACACGCTAGAAACGTTTCGAACGCAATGCAAAGTTTCTTTGAAGATGGACGACGACGTTGCAACAGCGGTTATTTATTGGTGTAATATGCGTAAAAAAAACGTAGATTTTGGCAACATCCAATTGTAGTATAACGTTTAATACTTGGTCACTTGAACCCTCATGTCAGAATCGAGACTCCTTTCGCGGCACAGTACGAAAAACTGAACCAAGTGTTTGCCGTTGCGACCGACTTAGTTTTTTTTAACCATACGCCGCTTCACGGTTTCCAAGCGTATATGGTTTTAAAGAAAAACAACTCGGCAAACCTTACAAGTGTGAACCGGCTCTTACGGGAATAATTCGTCTTAAATCGAGGCGTTGCTGCTGTCAAAATCTAAATGCCCTCACATTTAAGAGGTATTATAAATAGGAGCTTACAATTTTTTCCATAGCGAATGCCTTGAAAAATACTTTACATAGTACATTATTCGAAATATTTTCACCTAATCAATCGAATCCGGTAGCCTTATAAAAATGTACAAATTTATATTTAAAGTTTTCGAATAAGTTTTGTAAATATTGTAATTGCACTTTGGTGTTTTGCGCACGATTATAATTACACGTTATTCTGGACTTGTGACTACTTAACAGGTAAAGTTTTTAATGATCAACCTGTATTGGGTGAAATGGTGGACTATTGCTTTATTCCCACTTCGTAAAGCCGGGTGAACTTAGAATGAAATATAACGATTTATTTTATATTGTCTTGTTACAATATTCCTGAACAAATCTCCCGCGTTCACCTGCGCGGAGAGAGGCAATTCATTTTTGGTTTGCCTTCAAACATTTGTTTCCTCATCCGAATTAATTTAAAAATTTATATTGACTGAGCTACTTTGTGATCATGGTTTACACATTTTATGAGAAAAATTGGCGCATCAAAGTCGGCTTACTGCATTGACTTACAATTATATGGACGTCGGGTCCGCGCTAAAAAGTGTCCGCACTTGTAAGGCGTTAAAATCGTATACAGAGCGTTAAACTCCGCTTTAGTCTTCATTTGTTCGACTGACAGCGCGATACTGCGATGACATTACAATTTAAATTTCGAATAGGTTGACTTGGGACATTTTTTTCGTGGTTTTTGTATTAGACCCGTCGTCCATTTATTTGTAAGTCAATGGCTTACTGCTACTTTTTGGTCATCAATTAATTCAACGTTGCAGCTCTACAGTGCCACCATGAACATCACTATAAAAATAGAGAAATTTCATAATAGTCAACATCATCTTAATGACTTCAAGGTGCACTATGGCTGACGTTGTAATTCACTTGAAAACAATTGAAATAGCGCGTTAATTTTGTCTATAGAAAGAATCGTTTGAACACCTGTGCCTCTACCATGAGATTACAGTGACAGTTATCGCTAGCGACCGCGTATAACATTTGTATACATAATGTTGTTTCTTCGTGTGACCGCTAGGGGCGCTGTATAATTTGCCGTACAAAATTGTGAAGTAGTTTACGCTGTCGCTAGCGACTACCGTCATGGTAATCTGGTGGTAGAGACACTGATGTCAATTTGAAACGGACTGTAGGTGCGTTAGAGTTTTGAATATTCCATTCTCCAACATGTTTCTCGAAGAGAAAACTCGCAAGAGTGTAGAACTTTGTTCTTATTAAGCGACTGTGGAATTCATGTATTTGATAGTTTGCGTATTTTGGAGTGGCGATTGCGAAGCCCTCATAATGTTTTACTGTCATGATATTAATTTATTTTTATGTGAAATTACTCCACTAGGTTGTTAAAATTATTAACACAAAGATCAAACAAAAACAGAAATTCATTCCATCTAATAGGATGCGAACCTGTGTCTATATGCCCATGGTTTAATTTTGGCAATAAAGGCCGAAAAAACCCAATACAATAGGAGTGCTGACTGGACTTGTACTTGGTAGCAGTGGCCCCTATTTAGCATACACACGTAGATTCGAGTCCTGCCGGATCAAAGGAGCTTTTCTTAGATATTTGCATTATTAATTATAAAAAACATTCCCTGTTAATTAGTCACAAAATCTTTAAACTTTGCCTGTCCACAACACTTGTATAATCGACAATCAAATAACCTACTTGACTGTTAATGCATTTAGTACGACGAACCAAATATTTT